TCCCTCTAGATATTCAGGTCAGGCCTTCATCTTCCATGTTTCCTACAACATGAGCAACAACAGCACCTCTCAGTGGACCCGCCAGGGCAGGTGTCAGGCACACAATGCTTGCTAGGAGTCCATCTGCTGGTGGCATCCCTTCAAGGACAATTGGGATTCCAGGGATAATGCTTGCCACTTTGGGTGTTAGCCCTGTAGGCCATTTGGGCCCAAACCCTTACCACCCTTCTCCTAGAGTTACAAACATACCCCCGGATCAAATCTCCACTCCACTTTTATGGAACATCTGGCCGGTTGCTGCTTATCAATTTGTTCTTAAGCCACTTAGGCCGGTTGCTGCTTATCAATTTGTTCTTAAGCCACTTACTAACTCCTGCAACGTACTAACTCTGCCCCCTCTGTAGTCAACATCGCTCCACCCAGCTTATTATTAAAGTACCCTTAATGCCCCTAACAAGGCCAGATAACCCACTCCTTTGTCATTACTTCTGTTATTACCTACAGTGGGTCTATGACAATGAAATGTTTACCATTGGAGACACCCTAACCTGCTCTTGTGGAGGACTTAGGGGAGGAAATCAGTAACTTACATTCCCTCAGAGCAATAAGAGGATAAGACTTATGGCTATTTTGCCAGGTTCCCAGTCTCAGGGCACATGCTTGGATTGCCTTACATCATGGTATCTATTCCCATCCGTGTGGACAAACTGGCAATGAGTTAAGATTACAACCCCTTAATCCTACCCACCACTAGTCATGCTGGAGACCTTGGAGATGCCCAACTCCAGCCTGGGGTCCCAGAAGGTCAACCTGCCTAGGGTCCCCAGGAGGCTGTCATGCCTCACCCTGCTTGGGGAGCCACCAGCCCAGGGTCCCAGGAGGCTGACATGCCTCAATCTGCCCAGGGATTCAATCTCCAGGAGGTTGTCACACCTCAACCTGCCTGGGGATCTGCACCCCGACCCAGGGACACCCAGCTCTCAGGTTGCAACAATACAGGGTAGGATAGGCTTCAGAAAGACTCACCCATAAGGAAGACCGCCCAGGCAAATAGAAGGAACCTATTAGTTGTGGAACTGTGCCCGGTCCCAGCAATAACTCAGGAGTTCAATGAGAACCCCACTGCCTTTCTGGAAAGTCTCAAAGAAGCCCTCCAAAAGTATACCAATCTGGACTTAGACTCTTACGAGGGACAGGTGATTTTTAAAGGACAAATTCCTGTCCCAATGTGCATCAGACATCAGGATAAGTTACAACAGCTACAGCAGCAGAACCCTGCTGCCTCTTCAGATGAAATAGTCCAGAAAGCCACCAATACCTTTTATAACAGAACAGGAGACGGAGGCCAAGGCCCAGGAAAGGGAGAGAAGGAAAGAGACAAGCTATGCCCAGATGCTGGCTGCCCTCCAGGGAAGCCCTATGGCAAACCCTGAGTCCTTGAAGGACAAGGTACAAGGCAAATGCCTAATCTGTAGACAGACAGGACACTGGGCCAAAGGATGTCCAAACCATGGCAAGTCTACTAAAATGGCTTGCTACAAATTCCATCATTTGGGACATTGGGCAGCACAGGGAACTATATCCAATACCTTGTAATAATCTATAGTGGAGAAGAATATGAAAATGATTCAGTTTTGTATACGTGTGCATAGCTGAATCACTTTGCTGTACACGAGGAACTAAGACAATATTGTAAATCAACTACACTTCAATTAGAAACAAAAAAGAATTTCACAGTAGTTGTCTGAATCTCTACCTATAACTTGAATTGGAATTTCATGTTCTTAAACTTCTCTTTTTCTTATGTAATTGTGCCAGCACAATTAGGAACAGGCAGACCATCCAACAATATATGTAATGACCATTTGAAATCACCTTTTGCGACCATAGTAATTAAGTACTGAGGCATTTATCCCCTAATGTCTTTCCCTCCATCAACATCCCACCCCACACCTCACTTAGGGGTAGTCTTAAGTGATGGTGGTGCTCCCTCATGCTCCAGATTGCTCGTGTCCTCTCTCGTCATGCAAGGAGGTTGGTGCACTCAGCAAATACATGAACAACCCAATCCCAGGATCCCATTTTGGGAATCTATTCCTGGGATCACTTCTGGTACCATTTGTTGTATCGGTCAGGATGCTGGCAGGAAACAGATGACACAGTCAAAAAAAAAAAAAAAAAAAAAGATCTAGCCAGAAAGATTTCAATAAAGGGGATATTTAAGAGATGGGAGTCAGGATTAAGAAACCAACATGGAATGATGAGGCATTCAGGGTTTAGCAATAACAAGAAACCATTATCACACCAAGGCCTAAGGGCCAGAGGAAGAAACATTATTTCGGGATTCTTAGAGATAACCCCATGGAGAGGAGCCAGTCAAAATAATCTGTAACTGTAGATCAGTGGTTCTCACACTCCATCAAGTACCAGGGTCACCGAGGGTGCATTAAAAAACCAATTACTCCAGTAGATCTGGAGTGGGACCTGAGACTCTGCATTTCTAACAAGTTCCCAGGTGACACTGATGCTGCCGGAAGACAGCTCTTTGAGAACAACTTCCAGGGAGTACATCATTCACTCTGAGAACTATAGCAAGATGAAGGATTTGGAGAATTCACACCCCAACCTCTCTCTCCTACCGCTGATCTCCTACCGCCGCTGCCTGCCATGGACCAAACCCAGACAGAAGCTAAGGGATAAGGGATCCCGAGTGATAGTCTGTAGAGGTCACCCTTCTAGAGAGCTGGAGTGGGGCGCGACAACAGAGAATTGTCAGGACCACCACAGGGATCCACAGAAAAATGGATAGATAGATGAACCGACAGACACATGAATAAAAGGATAGAATAATAATAATGGTTAATATTGAGTGTTTCTTGTGTACCAGCCTCTGAACTAAGGGTTTTGCTCAGACTACCTCATTTAACCCGAAGAAGGATTCCTGTCTTACAGATGAGGCTAAGGCACAGAAACTAGATACTTTTCACATGGTCACACAGCTGGCAAGTAATGGAATCTACATCCCAACCTAGGCAGGCAAGCTCTAGAGCCTGACTGCCCTGTGCAGCTCTGTGATCAAGGGCAGACAGGCAGTGTGGGATGGGAGGAAAGAGTGTAAATCTTGGGACTTCCCTGGTGCTTCAGAGGCAAAGGCTCCATGCTCCCCATGCAGGGGGCCCAAGTTCCATCCCTGGTCAGGGAACTAGATCCCATATGCCACGATCCCTTGAGCCACAATGAAGATTGAAGATTCCTGGGTGCCACCACTAAAACCCCAGCACAGCCAAATAAATAACAAATTAATTTACAAAAAAGAGAAAGCGTAAATCTGGGACTTCCGTGGTGGCACAGCAGATAAGAATCCACCTGCCAATGCAGGAGACACAGGTTCAAGCCCTGATCCAGGAAGACTGCACATGCCGTGGAACAACTAAGCCCATGTACCACAACTACTGAAGAACCTGTGCTCCCCAATGGAAGAAGCCACTGCAATGAGAAGCTCACACACTACAACAAACAGTAAACCCCCACGCGCCACAATTAGAGAAAGCATGTGTGCAATGAAGACCCAGTGCAATGAAAAATAAAAATAAATAAATAATTTTTAAGAGTGTAAATCTTAAAGATACCTGGTACCAGACACTGACTTCCTTGTGACCTTGTGTTCTGAGCCTCATTCTTTACGTGTTTTTAAAGGCGATAATGATATGATAATATAGCTACTTCCTAGTTTTATTGGGAAAGTTAAGCAAGGTAATAGTGGTAAGCTCCTCGGTACGAAATCTAGCATACAGTAAACGATCAGAAATACTATTACTACTTTATTATTAATGGATAAAAAGAAAAATAAGATCGCTTTGCAGCCTTTTGGCTAAGATCAAATGTAGGAAGAAAAATAAGTCAGAAACTTGTGAGGGAAACACTCCCCCATTCAAAAAGAGTCCAGGACTTGGGTAGGGATGGTTGAATGGGTGTCCCACATACTAACTTCTCTTTTGAGGCCTTCTTTTCTGGTCTATCTCTGGTCTCTTTCCTAAGGATGGGAAATCAGTTGTCCCCTTCCTCATCAGTCTATTCCTTGAAATTTGGGGATTTGTGTGAATATGAGCTGGCCAGCCCCCTCTCCTAAAAATCCCCTCTTGGTTCCCAGGATCCAAAGGAAGGGAAAGCTGAAGGGGGCTCTGCCAGTCCAGGCTCTGTCCAGCTGTTCTGTTGACCCAGGTGTTGAGCACATGAAAATGGTAACTAGAGAAAGGGGCAGTGCTTGTTGAGTCAGGAGGTCGAATCCCAGGGGCCTGAGATGTGGGAAGGGGTGCTGGGCCTCCTTCCAAGGAACATTCCTTCTCAACTCTCTTGTCCCAAGGGAGAGACGGATTCCTAGATGATGGATGGGCGGGCACTGTGATGACCTAGGGAGGCTCTCCCGGCTCCACAGATGTTCTGAAGGCACCAGGAGGGCTTCTATACCACCACCAGCACCAGAGACAAGAACCACAGAGAAAAGAGTGAGGAAAAGGCATGAACCCAGGGAAGGCAGCACGCCTCCTCACTCTGGTCCCTTGAAACTAAGCATCACTTCTGGAGGCCAGTCCAGCAGGCGATGATGCAAATGCCACCAGAGGCGACAATGTGAACTCTCTCCCTCTCTTAAGCTGACAGCACAAGGTCCCCTGCTTTCGGCCAGGCTGCAGCCTGCTTAATGGGTTCTTAGAGCTGAAGCCAAGGAAAACAGAGAGAAGGAAGGGGGGGCAGGGTCAGGTTCCATTAGACAGAGGGGGCCAGAGGGGAATCCACAGACGGGACTTGGAGGGGATTTCTGAGTGGGGAAAGTGAAAGTTCCGGGCCATAAATAGAAGGCAGCCCCGGCTTCCTCTAGCTGCCACCCTCACGTTCCCAGATCCCTCACGCCCTGCACTTGCCAGCTGAGCCTAGACTTCACGGGGACTCTGCCCAATTCACTGGCTCATAGCTCGCCGGCAGTCAGCCTCCGCTCCCTCTCCATGGCATTCCAGACAGCCTCCCTGCTGGCCTTCAGCCTGCTGATCCTCTGGGTCTCCCCTGGTAAGACTGAGGGGAGGCTTGGCAGGGACGGGGGTGGGGTTGATGGCGGCAAGGAGCGGGATGTCTAGAGCTCAGACTGCTTGCCACTGGATGTGGGGGACCCTGTGAGTCAGGGCTGAATGCTTCAGTGAGCCTGGCGACTCCCTGTGCCTGCAACTGGGGGTTCCTGAGCCCCCAGATTCCAGCGTGGGTCTGTCTCTTGGTGTATCTGGAGCCTATGACTCCCCCTTTCTCTGCAGTCTCTATTGCCTGCTGCCTCAGTTTCCCAGGTAGGAGAGAACAGTCTATATTTGCTTAAGGTGGGGAGAGTGGGAGACACTGAGCCAGGGCTAATGATCAAAAATTTTAACAATTCCTAAGTTTTACTAATGTCAGCTTCCTGATGCTACTCTACCCCAGCCTGTTCCCCACCCCACATTCATCCCCCCACGGACACTGTGAGCAGCATGAATTCTCCATCTTAACTTCCCATGCGGAAGTTAAAAGGATTTGGGAGAGAAGTTGGGGTGATCCAGGTAGCAGAAAGTCATCTGTGGGGCTCAGAACAGCAGTTGTTGGCAAATAGCGATTCAATTTATTTAGCAACCACAGGTGGCGCTAGTGGTAAAGAATCCACCTGCCAATGCAGGAGACATAAGAGACATGGGTTCGATCCCTGGGTCAGGCAGATCCCCTGGAGAAGGGCATGGCAACCCACTCCAGCACTCTTGCCGGGAAAATTCTACTGACAGAGGAGCTTGGTGGGCTACTGTCCATGGGGTCACAAAGAGTCGGACACGGCTGAGCAATTTAACATGCAGGGCCATACTGGCGCATACTGGATGAGGATTAATCTGGTCTAGCTGCCGCCACACCCAGACAGATGTCCTTAACACCAGTGAGGGCTGTGACCTCCCCTCCTCAGGATCCCTGTATCTTGACACTAATCCCACCCTAGCTCTGGGAGGTGCCAACGATGCTGAAGACTGCTGCCTGTCTGTGACCCAGCGCCCCATCCCTGTATTCCTGGTGCGAGCCTACCGCTACCTGCTCCTCAAGGATGGCTGCAGGCTGCCTGCCGTCGTGTGAGTTTTAGGAGGAGCCTGTCTGGCCTTACCTCCCCCATCTGCTCCTGGTGAAACCCACTCTCACCTCCTTATCTCTCTTCTCCTTGCCAAGCTCAACCCCTGCAAGTAAGTCCCTGAAACAGGTTCCCAGATGTGGTCCCCAGTCATTGCCCTTCCCACTGGGCCTGCTGGGAAACTGGGTTCCAGGGCTGTTTTCTCTGACCTCTGACCTTTGTCTCCAGGTTCACCACGCAGAGAGGCCATGAGCTCTGTGCACCCCCAGACCAGCCATGGGTGGACCGCATCATCCGTAGACTGAAGAGGAACTCTGCCAGGGCAAGCCTGACCCTCCCCAGCCCTGCCTCCTCCCTCCAAGCCCCTGCCCAAGACCTCAGTCCGTGACCGTGCCTCTCCTTCCTCCCCCAGAGAAGTGTTCCAGTAGCTACCCCATGACAGCCCAGAGAAAGCCCTGTGTTCGGGAGACAGAATGTGAATCACTGAAGCCCTGGGGAACCAAGGATCAGAAGGCAGGCCCCCTGCCCTCCTGCATCAGACCTGACCTGGCTGCAGCAGGGCAGCAGTGTCATTGTGAGTGTGAGTGTGAGCAAGGATGTGTGTGGTGAAGATTGCAATGTTTCCAATAAAGCCCAGCTGGTCCCCACGAGTCTGTCTGCCTGCGTATGTTTGCTGCCTGTCAGGGAGGGCTGTGACAGGAAAGGGGAGATAGAATGGCAGGATTAGTTTACACTCAGCAGCCTGTGTTCTCAGGATCAGCTCCCATGATCAGCCCCCACCTCCTCTCTCCTCACAGCCCTGTCACACTCCAAGGCTCAGCAACACTAAACCTGTGTCGGTTCCCTGAACGACTCAAAACTCTCTCAGGCCTCCGAGTCTTTGCTTTCCAGGACAAGTGCTCGAGCATCCAGGTCTCTCAGGGATCTGGTGTTGCTGGGGGCAGGGAAGGGACTGGTTGGGAACCAGCTCTCATGGCTAGTGGAGGGGCAGGGGCCCAACTCTATTGTCGGGGGTTGGGGGGTTGGCGGGGGACGACCCAGCCACCCACACCATTCCCACTCTCTGGAATACTCTTCTCTCTCTTCTGCCTGCCTGGCTTCCCATCTGGGTCTGGATGACTCCTCCTCCAGGAAGCCTTCCCTCCTTCCCCCCTCCACACAGGGTTAGGAAGCCTCCCTTCCTCTCAAGACCCCAGGGCCCTCTGCTCCTCTCCTCTTGCAGCACTCAAGATGCTGAGTTATAATTGCTAGTTTGTCAGCCTTCCTGAACAGGGATCACGTTTATTTTGGTTTCCACTGTCTCCCTGGTGTCCAGCACGCTGTTTGGCACAAGGTAATCAGTCAATAAGTATTTGTCTGGAGAACAGATAAATATGTAAAAACAGGCTCAGCAGCCAGGGGTGAGGGCCCATCTGTCCAGACAGAATCTCACCTCCCAACCAGCCTTCTCTGTTGCCCGCTCAGTCTAACCCAGTTCCAGCCCCAGCTGGGTCCACGTGGCAATACTGGGGCCCTGCTTCTCAGGGATACTGACAGGCAGACCTGGGAGCCAGAGGTCAGAGTGGAAGCAGGAAGACAAAGGAGCAGCCACAGAGCCGGGGAGATTCAGCTCAGCGGCACCCACCTCCACTTCATAGCCACATGGGCTCCAGGGACTGAGGCCAGTGGAGTCGCAGGGAAGGAGTCTCAGCTCTGGGAGATGAAAGCCCTTGACTCGTGGAACATCCCACAAGGCCTCTCTGGGAGGAATGACCTCCTCATCCTCGGGAAGTCCCCTGGGGAGGCTGGCTGGTCTCCCGACTACGGCCCCTAAGGGCTTGTCTGGCAGGAAGCAGCAAGTCTGTGCTCTTGAGGTTGGGAATGACAGCTAGGACACCACACTGAGCATCCTCATCTGGGAGCAGAGGCCACCACCTTACCATATCCCTCATCTGGGAATCAAGGCACAGCTGGGCAGCCCTGGGCATGCGGGGGAGGAAAGCAGAGGCCAGGGGGCTGTGCCAGCCCTCCTCACTGGACTGAGAGCACAGCAGCTTCCTTCTCACCTCTGCTCCTAAGAGTGGGTGTTCAAAACCTGAAAAAACCTCCGAGACGCAGGAGTGGGTGGAAAAGGGATAGTCTGTGAGAACAACTGGTATAGCCAGGAAACTTGGCTCTGCTACCTGTGGGAAACTACCCATCCATTCATGCAGCCATGCACCCATCCATCTAGCTGTCTCTGTGTCCATTAGAACTCCACCCATCCATCCACCCGTTCCCCGCCAACTCATCCATCCATTAACCCATCCATTAAGTCAGCCAACCGTGAAGCCCCAGAGAGCCCTTTGGACCTGTGCCCTGCACCGCAGCAGGCAGAGAACAAATACAGGTGGGAGCCGGGCACATCCCCGCACATCCTCAGTTCCCAGTGAAGCCAAGCGGAGTTCAGTCTGCCACTGGGGCAGATACAAACTCTCCTTCTGGAGGCTTAAGAAAATGAACAGATGGAGTAGAGAAGGCGAGGGCAGGAGTACTGAGGAGGTGTTACCAGGACAGAGCCCTCCCCCACCTCCCCAAACACACCACCTCCCTGATACTGCCACTGTCGAGGGAGGAGACACAGGAACAGGTCACAATTCTCCAGTCCTGTTTCTGCCCCTCACTGTGCAAATCCGGGCAAGTCCTTTCCTGCACTGCCCCCTCCAAGGCCTTCTTCCCCACATCTGTCGTGTGTGGGCAGCAGGACGGGGTGCTGAATTTTTAAGAGTCACTCCAAAAAAAGACTTAATTCCTAACTATTTGAGTCTTAGGCTAACCCACCCTCCCAACACTCACACAGGCTCCCCCAAAGTCACGCACATTCAGAAAGGTCCCCATTTCCCCGGGGACCCAGGGACCACCCTCTAGGAATGAAGCTGAGGTTTGGGAAGAGAGAAACTGATCCAAGAGCTGGTGAAGTGGCCTGAGCAGCCCCCTGCTGGACCCTGGAGACCTGGAGGGGGAAGAATTTCCAGGAAGCCCAAGCCCTCCCAGTTCTCCTCCAGCCACTGCCCTGCCTCCTGGCTTCCTCCCTCCCTCTTTTCCCCACCCCTAGCTACCAACCCTCCAGGGCACTGGTGCTTCTTCCCTTGTCTCCCTGCCAGACACAGAAGGGTTTAGCCCAGCAGTCTGTGACCTGTCCAGATCCACTTAAACATTCTCAGCATCTGATTTCATCTAATCAATACCTGTCTTGTTTCGCTATGATTCACTGACAAGTGCTGAGACTTTATTTCTCCCAAGTTCTGAAGAGCCAGCTGCCGACCTGCCTGCATGACAGCGATGAAGCTGCCAGTTCTCTCTCTCTGAGGGATGGGATGGAGTGCCAGCTCCCTTACCAGGATATGGGAGCCTGCTGCCTGCCTCTAAGCCGACACCTTCCTCTCTCAGGCACACGATACTTGCTATGGGTTTAAGGCTGGCAACTGAGTGTCAGCTCCCTACCTGAAGGCCTGTGGTCCCAGGAGCCTACATCTCCCTAAAGGGACCTGACATCCTTGCTCAGGGAGCTCCCAGCCTTTGTATCCACCTCCATGGTGAATATGGAGGTGAACGGTATGGGAAAGAATCTGATGCTGGGAAAGACTGAGGGCAGGAGGAGAAGAGGGTGACAGAAGATGAGATGGTTGGATGGCATCATCAACTCAATGGACATGAGTTTGGGCAAACTCCGGGAGACAGTGAAGGACAAGGCAGCCTGGTGTGCTGCAGTCCGGGGGTCGCCAAGAGTGACACAACTGAGCAACCGAACAACAAAAACAAATGGTAAATATGGTGGACAAAAAGCTTCCTGTCCACAGGGGAATTCCCTGGCAGTCCAGGGGTTAGGACTTGGCTCTTTCACTGCTGGAACCCCAGTTTAATCCCTGATCGGAGAACTCAGACTGCACAAGCTGACAACAGCAAAAAAAAAAAAAACCCTCCATGAAACAGTTGCCAGTGAAGAGGACTGGGCCTGTCCATCTCCACTGCCAACACTGTTCTGCCCAGAGCCTGGCACAGAACAAGGCCCAGAGCACAACTGATTATCAAACAATGGAATTGAATATGACCCTTTCCCACGATTATCCCACCACCACTCACACCTGGAGCACATCCAGTTCTCCAGACAGCGGGGCTGTCTCTGTTACATGGCTAAGTGTTTGCTCAGAGCCAGCTCCATACGGTTTTGATCAGATTTTCAACATCTCGTGTTCAATTTCTCGGCAAGCCCCCACCACATAACCCCTTCTCTGGCGTCCGGGAAACTCAGCAACAGACAGAAAACCTTGGAAATAAGAGCTTCACTGGGGAGCAAGACTCCCAAGTGGGGAGTTTCCTCCAAGAGCCCCTCTGCCGTAATAAACAGGCACTTTTCTGGTCAGAGGACTTTCTCGATGGTCTGAGACTTTCTTTGTCCACGTGGGAGGACTTGGCTTGGTAGTACTAGCTAAACCACCCCCAGTGCTTACTAAGTACTGGACACTGCTCTTCAAGTGCTAATATCATTCTTCAGTTGTAGCTGAGGGAACTGAGTGCAAAGGTTAATTAACTTATTCACGCTGCACAGCCAGTAAAGTGGCAGAGCCTGGGGGGATGGCAGCTGGGCAGATCAGCTCCAGAATCTGTACTCTTAGCTACCACACATACCACCTCGCTGAGGTGACCCACCTCCTAAGTAAAAAGTGAGAAATAATACAGCAGGGGCAGGTCTGAGGAAGGAAGGGGTCCTCAGAGAACATGAGAGCCACTTCTTTGAGGGCTGGCTTTGGGCCAGACTCCAAGCTGAGTCCTTTATGTACATTATTACTGCATCCTCAAACAACCCTGTGAGGTGAGATCACTCATCCCATTCTATATACGAGGAGACTGAGAGGTAGAGTGAGCTCACGAGTCCACTCGACTAGTGAGTAGAAAAGCTGAGGCCGCAGTGCAAGTCTGCTGGGCGGGTAGAACTTGAGCTGAGGGCTGGCAGCTGGGATAGCCAGATTGGGTGGACAGGCTTGGCTTCCTAGGAAGGGCTGGGAAAACACAAAAGAAGTAGCTGGTCCTGTGCTAAGACTCCATGCTTCCAATGCAGGGAGCCCAGGTTTGATCCCTGGTCAGGGAACTAGATTCCACATGCTGCAACTGAGTTTGCAGGTCACAACTAAAGATCCTGGGTGCTGCAACTAAGACTTGGCACAGCCAAATAAATAAATATTTTATTTTAAAACGGAGAGAAGAAGCTGGAGACCTTGGGCAGGATCCCAGGGCTAGAGTTCAGACACAGATATGCCCCTTGGAGGCCGCCTGGGCTGACCTCTCCAGCAGAAGGGGAGCCTGCCCTCCCCTGAGCATCCAGGAGAAAGTGAGCACAGGTTCTCCAGGTCTGGTCAGGCCTCAGTTTTCCCAAGAGTGAAGAGTGGAGAAGGGGCTTAGGCTACAACTATGCCCATCCTC